TTGTGGTACTGCTCGTGTAGGCCTTACTGAATCGATTTTTTTCGCAGACACTAGAAGCTGTACTTCATCTCCGCAGTTATCGCATCCATCCTACTGTGCGCGTGCGAAAATCCCAGAAGCATCAGTGGCACTGGCCTGGATGGCAATCTGCAGTCATGGATACCGCCATCCTCCAGGGCTTGAGGGTTTTTTCAACTCTATGCTCACTTAATTGGAGAGTTTGCGTCAGCGTTCGGCTAGTTTTCGTGTGACTGTGTCGCGCGTGGTGCCCCTGTGATTGGATCAACAACCTGATTTGAACGACGAGCAGGTTGTGTGGTCTGTCCAGCAGCTGACACCCGTCTCCACCTTCCTCGCGAGCACAGCGCAGGGGTTTGTCTCCTGACATGCGTGTAGTTCAGTAGTTATTGCCGGCGCGATCGACAGTGCACCGGAGTATTAAAAACAGAAAGACAGTGCTTATTACGGAGAGCTTGAGTTCCCGCAAGTCCGTAGGAGAGCAACCTCATCGCCGTTGCAGTGGCCTACTTCATGATGCCCAAACACTCCTCACATGGTGCGTGCCTACTCAGACGCTGAAGTCATCATGGACGGTTTGCCTGTAGTCGGCACAGTTCTCGGAGAGTTTATCCTTCGCGTCGTAATTGTCTGCCATCTAGAAGGGCAGTCACAGGTACGAGCAAAAATTTCCCCCGCGAAACGCAGGCCTCAATAGGATGAGGTGGTCATTGGTTCTGTGGGAAGAGCTGATAAAGTCTCTTTTGGCAGAGAAGGGGACTTCGGCATAGACTTCCATCCTTTGAATGGCCGCTTCGGAAGGTGCAATAAAACCGACCTCGTTCAACCGTTCTAGCCCTGAAGAAGCAGGTCTCGCTGAGTGCACTGATGTCTGCATGACAACGGGCCAGTTCTTCGACGACCAGAGAGACGCATTTCAACCTAAGCGGTAGAGAGTTGAGATGGCTTATAATTTCGTATAGCACTTCAGCTGCATGACTATCGTCCACAAGACACTGTCAGCTTTCAGGCGGCGTGCGTACTGGTAACTCCTGTAATGATGTAAACAGAACTACCCCGAAATGGGTCGCTGGATCATTTCAAACGGCTGCTGAGTTCCCTTATGGGTCAGAATTTTGATTTGTCAGAAAAACTATCTGGATCTCCCTGGGCTGGATTCATGGTTGAACGTCGTCCTACCCGCAGGAATTCTAATGTTTGGCATGGAGAGTGGGATGGCGGGGCGCGGTGGCAGACAAGGCGTATAGCTCTTTTCTACGCGTACAGAACCTTGATTGATTGAACCGAACTTCATACGCACGGTTTCCCCGCATAGGGAAAGCCCTACGGACTACCATCGCCGACCCCCCAGCGAGGGTTGGACACCAGCCACCATTTGCACCACGGACGGAAGTACAACCTGTCACCTACACGGGATGTGCGCACCTACCTGGATACACCGTACGGCCCACTGCTGAACATCGTCCTCCCAGGGTTTCCACTATCCCGGTGCAACGTCTCGTCGCCTGTTTACATCTCTGCGACCAGCAACAATAGTATTTGAGTTTTTTTCCCACCTAGTTTGTATTCAGTTAGGGTGAAGCCATCCAGCAGCACATAACGATACTTTTACCGGAATTAAGGCAGATGAACGCCTCAGAACGTCGGCCTGGTCGCACTTTTTCTTCAGGTCAAAAGTACTGTTAAGCCAACGCACACTCGCTGCCTAAGTTGACTACCTCGTTTCTCATGCTTTCTGTACTCGGGCAGTTGCATACTGACGCCGGTCACGTATTTTGCCGATTTGGGAATACTCTTCATTGCGAATGAAAATTAGAAGTGTTAAGAACAGATATCGTTTGTTTTTTTCGTGCATTTTTTAAAACCCCTAAATTTGAAAAGGATGGAAGTTACATAGGAAACGGAATGAAAGCACCTTGGTCTTGGGAAAGCATCGAGACTGGTACGTGGAGGATAAAATGACCCACGCTCCCTACTGTGCATTGATCGACAGATTCGATGCAATTCCGTAGGTCTTCAGGCCGGACTACAGAATGTCTGTCTGTTGATCTGGTAGGGACCCAACTCCGACCGCATTTTGCAACGTCCAGCCTCTCGCGACTACTTGTACGTGCACATCAATTGCTGTGTGGTCAATGCCGGCTGCCATAAACCGGCCAATCATCTACGAGGACGACTGCATCACTGTCTCACACTCGGGACGCCGCTCTCCCGGCGCCCGACGTACCCCCGTCCGGCTGCCAACTCCTACCAACCTCTTCTCTGATAGTTCTGTACAGAATACAACACCCACCCGGCTGGCGTCCCACTTCTTCTCTTCCAGTTCAGGACCGAACCCAATGGTCGTGGTGGCTAAGGTCTCCCTGTGGCTTAAACCGACACGATTGTCTACCTACGGGCGCATCCATGGGTGACGGATAAAGGAATGGCCTGATTGAAAACCAGCGGTAAAATAAGTCGATTTGTGGTAGAGGGACGCTCACTGAAAGCGTTACGAGACGCACCCCTCCTATTGGGCCTGGGGCCCTTTCCCTCTCTCGAGCCCCGCCAACAGCCGCTCAGCCGGTCGCGGCGAAACATCTGCGGTGTTATTCGGGTGCCAAGGGAATGGCAAACCGACCAGTCTGTAAGCGGATGCAGTCTGAAGGCAGCGCTGTGGCGAGCCAGGCCATGCAGGCCCGAGGCTGGCTGACGACGCCTAACAGGCCATCCCAGTCTCCCTTGTCTTTGCCGGTATCCCTTCCAAAGTTCTCCCTGTAATAAATATTTTTGGGTCGGGCTCCCATTCAAGGGCCGGGCCCGGGACTGGGGAACCGAAATCCAGGATTCCCATCTCATGCATCCGGAAGACGGCGATTCCAAAAAGACCGGATCTGTCAGTTAGTCTGACTGTGAGCTACCCGGCGCGTACGCCGGTGGCGGAGAGTATAAGGAGTGATAAGAAAGGGACTTTATCGTTGGAGTAAGGATTTCATTTGCCTGACATGTCGGAACCATTTTCGAACTAACCGATGGCAACAACAAGAAAAGGGTATTGGACGCACGGAAGTGCAGTATTAAAAGGACGCGATTGTTACACTGAAATTGGCAGTTCCTGCATACACCGCAGATGTTCGTATTCGGCGTGAGACTGCTTGGTCGCCTGCATACGGGGTGAAGACTACTGGTGTTGATTAGCGTGAACACTACTCGACGAGTCGGTTCAACACTGTTATCACAGAAATCAGGGTTCAGCAGCACACTCCCTGTTTGAGTAAGCCCTTTGGCAGACACGAGCTTAGCGCCGAATAGAAATGGGGGCATTACTGTGTTTGTTGATGGACTGTGCGTCGAAGAGCCATACTGTGCCTCCTGTGAGTTCGTCAGCCCTTTCTGCGCTGGCTCAAACGACAAGCTAGAAAATGAACACTGACCACCATGTGAATAAAATATATATTCCAGCGATTGAATCCTCCACTGCTCGACTGCTATCTGACGTCATCTAGCCGCTTGTATCAGCAGTAGAGCGGCCTTCAGCGAATATTTGCTGCGAAGATGAATGGGCTATCGAGTCAGATGAGGGTCACAAGAGCGGCAGTACCTTCAGGTCTAGCGTGGTACAAAGCCGGCAATTTATGAAGGTCACAAGCTCCAAGATCATGACACAACAAATGTTGCCTGCCGTCATCTAGCACAAACTGGAAAGCCTAAACTGGCGTGCCGGAAGGGTGGACGGAGGCTTCCAGGAGGCTATTCGTCTGCCGAGCTGTCTCCCGCAAGCGTCATTTGGGGGTCACAGACAAACCCGCCTCTGCGGTGGTCGATTGAGTCCGCCTGCCCCAGTGAGACTAACCGGACACCAGTTGCGACGAGCGGAGCGATTCCTCGTGCATCAGAAACGCCTCACGCATGCTGACTCCCGCTACAGTATCAAAAATACCGATTTGTCTGAATCCCCTGCCCGTAGCCTGGATGGAAGTTTTGCATTAACGTGGTTAAATCCGACCTCGATAGCATCGCTGGCCCTGTGCTCTCCGACCTGAGGGGTTGGCCTGTCGAAAAGCTCAACCGTCCGCCGACCGCGGTTGGAGGTGACATTCGCGGGACAGCAAGTGCAGGTACTTGCAACCCCCAGCCGGACATAAAAAGTCACTCTTCGTCCGGTCGCCAACTTATCGGGCTGACTGCCATAGGCCACCTGGGTGCGTGGTGCGTAACAATGATTCCGTAAGAGATGCCGTTATCAAATTGCCTCGGCACATACAACAAGCACGAAATGCACATGCCGTAGGCGTGCAAAACAATACGGTGTGTCACCTCTGCAGTGTATTACGACGGCAACGGCGAGGATGGCACTGCACACGTACACACGAAACGTCATCGCGCGCGCAATGACTGCTCACACAGTATAACAAACACGGCGGTGTGTGTGTATGTGTGCAGGCTATACGAACAGGTGTGTATACTGGTGTGCGCATCTGCAGACAAAAAATCGAACGAGAGAGAGACACGCACGCACGCAGGCAGGCAGCCACGTCTGAATACAACAAGGGTGGGGTGGGGGAGCAACTGTAACACAACGCAGTGCGCAAAAAGCAACCAGGAGATGTGAAGGCTAATTTTTACTGGTAAAGAGCATCCACAATTCTGTCTCTCTCCCAGTGCTGGAAGACTGCATGACTGAGCGACTTCGGGTAGTGCTGAGAGAGCATAATATAAATTAGGGATACAAAAATACCGCAAAAGAACATGATAATGAGGTGAGAAAAGAGGGGGCAGGGCAGACGCTGTGAACCCTGGGGTCAAAGGAGGTGGGCTTTTAGAGTTGCGGAATGAGGGACAGAAAAAAAATAGTAAATTTCGCCTCAGAGGCGGCGGCGACGGCGGCGGCGGCGGCGCAAAGGCAGGTACAACCGAGTTCAGCACGATTTGAAACGGACGGAAACGGCGGGGAAAGTTGGGAAGATCGAACGCGCAACCGGTAGAGATCGAACCAGCGCTTGTCACTCTGGGAAAGTAGTTGGACAGAAGAAAAGCGGGCTATATAACTTCCGAAACGGAGAGGTCATCATCACCGGCACCATCCCGCCTAAAGGGGGCAAACAGAGCAGTGACTCACCTTGTCTATGCCCAATGTAGGTTTTGGGGCCAGTATAAGGCGGCGGAGGTGGAGGGAAAGTGCTTTTGTCGGGAAAGGTGAAACGCCTGTCCCAGGGCTCCGTAGAATTGCCCATTGAACCGTTCACTGGCGGACAGGGGGGAGGTGCTGGCATCATTGGCGCAACAGGCTTAGGGAGGCGGGAGGGGGGGGGGAGAGAAGCGTGTTGCGGATTTAGAAAACTGCTCATTCATGCACACACGGTATCCTATGCAGGATTGATGGAGCAGCAGAGGTCGTATGCGCCAAGACAGGATTACTTGGGCATAACACAGTGTATGAGCTCATAAAACAATACTTAAATGCGCCGAAATAAATATGGTGAAAGAGAATAAGGAGTAAGAATATTATCCCTTCGCTCGAGTCTTGTCATACTTTGTTAGGAAGGATCCTAGGCAGTTTTGGGGTGTTCAGTTTGTACCGGGACGCTTGCGGACGGATCTCGATTGGGCTGACGATATTGCCTTGCTGGCCACAAGCCTTAGTGATCTGCAGTCTGTGGTGAGTCGCAGCAGGATGGTGTCACTAATTCCGTTAGTTTACCTATAAACACTGGGCAGACCAAAGTGTTTTGGAGCTGCATCTTTTGCCAGGAGAAGGCACTCCTCGGGTAAAAGTGACCAATAACTTGAAAAGGCCGATAGATGCCTCAGCCGAGGCTGTTGGCGAATGGACACAGTAAGGACAACATCCTCCCCCCAGATGCAACGCTGCTCACCGGATTTTCACAATCCTCTGACAGTGTCTATGGACCCAACGCAACATCACTGCTACCGCGAAGATCTGCGTGTACCGCGCATCCATCCGGTCAGTCTTTCTCTATGGTTGTGAATGCTGGACTGGACTGAGCCTAGAATATGATCGAAAACTGGAGATGTTTAAGCACCGCTGTCTGAGCACTGTCCTTGGAGCGCAGTGCACTTTGTTTCGGATGGGACCGTCAGCGACATGACGAGGATATATCGAGACATCCAAGAAGGACGACTGAAGTGCTTAAGATGCGTTCTTCGTCGTCCGCCGCGTGTGCTTAGTGTTGCTGCCCTCGATCCGGTGTCGCAGCCAACCTGCGGACGTCGAAGTGGAGGCTAACGCGACAACAGTAGGGTGTAGGACCCCCAACTGACTTCAGCTAGCTTGTGAACCCTGTTAAACGTTGAACGGTGGTAGAGGGGATCTCGCGGGTGGGGCAACACACCAGGCGACGGGTAGGTGGAATGCAAGAAGACACAGAAAATGAATAAATTTCTGCCGAAAGTCCTACTGTATGTTGCCATATGGCAAAGAAAGCGAGCGCGAAGACTTAAAAAATGAAAAAGGAAATTTTCAAAATAACGGATTTTGAATAGATCGCCGATGGCAAGTTCGCATTCAGTCCGAAAACCCAGAAAATTTTAACCAATAGGAACAGTGAATAATAAGGGGTGTTTGAAGTTACAAGAATTTTAGTGTACATGTCGGAGTTGCCAGCTACGTGGAATCCTACATCCTACCGTTGTCGCCAACGCAAAGTACGGTTCGACACAGTTCTTTAAGACATGAAAGTGGTTCTTGGACCTTCGGTAAAAGATCTTTGCAGCTGGAGGGTGACAATGCGTCAAGCCTCCCGGATCCATTGCCACGGGTCGTCACGTGTGGGAAAGTGCGATCCGCGACACTAGTGGAGCCAGTTAGATCAGGCATGACCAAGGCTGTGCCAAGTACAGGTACTAATAATTCCACTGAACGGGAGGAGGAGGAGGAGGAGGAGGAGGAGGAGGAGGAGGACGGGGATGAGGAGGGGTGAAGAGGAGGGGTCACGAGAAAAGACTGCTCCTGACTGACGATTAAAAAGCCAGTTGACGTGACAGTCGAGTTTGACCTCAGTCATGGCAGTTGCAGGCCGGACCCCTAAGTTACCATGGTCGACTACATGCCTACACTTCACTCATATTTGCAACTGAGTGGATGAAGCACGAAATGGACATCAATACAGGAGGGAAAGTTGGAGCTCCAAAATGGGAACCGTCTCCACTAAAAGCCCCCCTCTGACGTGTTCCTGGGATTGAGACCGACAAAAAAATCTGCCAGATTTCCAAGGGCGTCTTCATTACTACGACGGAAAGCGAATCAACGGGACCTCTACCTGTGCACGCTCTTTGTAGCTTCGACTCGGAACACTGGGCCTTGGTCCACGCGAATTGGAGAGTACTGGCACATCACCCACCGCGGAGGGTTCTCTGGACAAGGGCGCGGGAACATCGCGTGGCGCGTACGGTTTCCTAGGCATGCCAGTGGGCGTCTGAGGCGGCAACGGCGCTTGAGACTGCGTGTGAGCAGGCGAAGGTGGGGCTGGAGCTCTAGGAGTAGGTGGGGCCTGCCAGGAGGGTAAAATAGCCTTTTTAGAATGTTCTCATGTTGCCTTGCAACAGACGTGATAGTGTTTCGACAGCTTTGAGTTCCCTTCAAGCAATTTTGTAACTCTTTCAGTGAAGACCTAGCATACACAAAGAAAAGGTACCTTAAAAAGGAGAATAATTTATTTAATTTTTTTATTATGGTAGAGGGGGGCTCACCGATCGTTTTTGTGGAACTCACTCGTCCCGTTGAACCTTCCGAGCTCTCTCTGTCGAGTCCAACCAGCAGCCGCACGGCGGCACATGACATGGGCTGAATGCTATTACCGAAAAAGACAAGGGAGACTGGAATGACCATTTCTGGCTTATTAGCCGTCGTCAGCCAGCCATATCTAATCCCGAAGTGTGGAACACCTGGGGCTCGATCCTGCGACCTGTTAGCTAGAAGTTCAATGCCTCTAACCACTGAGCCACGGACTCGTTGTCCCAAGAAACGAGAATTATTCATTTTATTTTCTTTTTTATTCAAGATGACATCTCCCTCGAAATGCTGCTCAGTAGATGATATACACCTGTCCCAATAGGTGTTCCACTGTTCAAAACATTTTTCTCATATGCTCCTGAAGCAGTTCTGTTAAGTGCGTCCAGAAAGTTTTTCCTTAACCTCTTCTACGTCCTGAAAAGGCCTTCTTCATTCTTGAAGTCGCAGGGGGCTAGGTCGGGCGAGTAAGGACAGGGGGGTGAGGAACCGTTGTCATGCCGTTTTTCGCCAAAAAACTGGTTGATTCTGAATGCTGTGCGGGCAGGCGCGTTCTCGCTGCCTCACACAATCGCATGAGCACTGGCAGAGACAGTCATGCTGGTTCACTCTGGGGGCCGCAAAGGACAAATTCAACATTAACGAGTCCTTTGACGTTGGGATAAAAAGGAAACCATTACATGAATCTCAGATTTGACTTCACTTGCTGTGCAAAATATTGCCGAGCGTTAGCACGGGCTTTAATACAACAATCATTCGGCTCGCCACGATGGTCTCTCTCATGAACGCTACTTGGCCAAGTTAGTAGTGTCTAGTAAAAAGTACCCAGCAGGAGAGAGCAGCACTGCCAACCCACTTGCCTACAGAAAGATTATTGATAAGAAGTAGAGGCGATGGCTGGAACAAGAGCCTTATTTGCCTGACGTTTCGGATTTTTGCCCGAACCCATCATCAGAGCGAGAATCCGAAACGTCAGGCGAATAAAGCTCCTGCTCCAGCGATCGCTTCTACTTCTTTGATTGACTAGTTCCTGGTACTCGCATCGTCGCTTGTATCGACAGAAAGATGATTCTCGTTTGTTGAGTACACGTACTGCATGCAGGCACACGTATTAGCACCGTAGTTGTCTTTGTTTACATTTGTGTCTGGTTCGACTCCGAGTCGTCCCCAGCCCCGCTTCGTATAGTGGAAGCAGCGAAACCAGAGGATATTCATCCCCAAGGGAGCGACAGAGAGCACATACATACAAACATTGCTCTCACGGTTGGGAGAGGTAGTTTTTATAACCTGGACATGACCCGTGTCCTGTATATATAGCAAACTGCACCTGGAGCGGACTTGGCGTTGGCCTGAGTTCGAGAGTCAGGGTCATGTAACTTCGAACTGACAAGTGAATGCTTTGTGATGAAAAAATTGCCCATGGCGCGAAACGGATGTCTACATACGCGTGAACTATCTCACTTCAGAGAAAGGGATACCAGTAAGGACAAGGGAGACTAAAATGGGTATTTCGGGCTTGGTAACCGTCACAAGTCGGCGGACCCCAGACTTGGGAATCGAAGGCAGGCTCTTTGGTCATTGGGTTGGGCATGAAGCTGTCCAACCCGCCATCATCGGTAATACCTTCTCTTTTATTTCGCTATGCGACTGTCGGCGAGGGCACAACATCAACCCAAAAGAGCGCCGTCTGTGTCGGCTTTCTGTGCGTAAATAGCCCTTCAGACGTGCTTTAGCATGGATCATCATCGTATAACACGGCACCAATTGGCCTAGAAGGAGCTGGTCTCAACAAATTGCCATATTGAAAAGGCAAGTGGATGCGTGGTAATTACGTCCACAAGAAGGAATGTAGGCGTGCACAGAGAGATAGCCGAAGGTTTCGGCTAAGACAAAAGTACGTGCAACTGTTTTATTCCCCCAGTCCGGATGATTTTAGTGCGTTTTCTTGATATTTACTTCTAGGCTATGAGAAGGAAAAGGCAGCTCTTGAGTAAACCTGTACAACAAATACTAGCGTGATCTTCAGTTCACGGAAATCCAAATTAGTCAGCGCCGGGAAAAAGGTGGCAGTCACGGACGCAAAAAACCCTTCCACATGGGAAGATTTCATGTATATCCGCAGAATGATGAATACTCGCTAGCATGCAACTGGGCGGGTATCGAAAGCACTATAAGTATGGCAGACACCAGGCGTGTGATCCAACAAGTAGAGGTCAATTACGAGTGTGGCCAGAGGAGACCGTTCTTCAAGCAAGCCGCCTCTTTCAACTCGAATCCGGTGAGTCATTATTCAACCGGGTTTCTGGGCAACTGTTATCGTCCACCGGAGGGAACACATGCAGTGTTATTGAGCTGATTTGAACCTCTAGACAACTTCAGAACTCATGGTTTGGAGATAAGTACAGTGGATGTGCTACTTAACGAAATGTTAACCGAAATTCCAGAATATGACTTCGATTCCAAAAGGTTACCAAAGTAGGGTTGTAATATTGTCATGCAGCAGAATCTTAAGATATTTCAGTCACGTCAGGCTGCCGGCTTTTGAATGAGCTTCTTTTCGGTAGCCTACAAAAACCGCACTCTGTAGAACGTTACTACTAAAGTGATATAGTTTTTTCACATTGATTTGAAATGCCCTCGGAAATTCAATAATATTTCCTCGAAACGCGCATAAAAATATTCATTCGTGAACTCATTTAATAGCGCATTGCATATTTTCCGAATTTTATATTTGAAAAAAGAGAGCATATTTTGGTTCCAAAAACGGCAACGACAGGGTGTAGGACCACCAAACTGACTTGAGCTAGACTGTGGGCCATGTCATAGGTTGAATGGTGGTAAAGAAGGTTTTACAGGCGGGGCAACACATAGGACGGAGAGCAAGAGGACACTGGAAATCGATGAATTTCTGCCGAAAGTCTCATTGTACACTGTCATTTTGCAAGGAAAGTGGGCGCGATAATTAAAAAACAAACACAATGCAATTTAGTCAGGAAGGGAGGCAAATTTTACACAATAGGAGCGGTGAATAATAAGTGACATCGACAGTCACACTGAATTTTAGGGTATATTTTTGAAGTTGCCATCTACTTGAGGGTCCTACACTTTATAGTTGCCTAAAAAACTTTATTAATTCTTGGATAATTTTTTGTCCCACCTGTCGTTGCACTTGCTTTCAAGGTTTACAGTCCACATGCTGTGTGCGTTCTGTCAAAAAATACCACTTATTTATCTACACTACTATTAAGACAGCGTATAGGACTCATAAAATTGTGCAACGGATGTGGACCTGGTTGTATGTTTTATAAGTAGCACTAGTAAATGTGCTGAGGCATAGCCGTAGTAATGAACATTTCACAGTCTTCAGTCTGACAATCGAAACTTGTCAAAAATTAAAAGATACTCTCTCATCAAGAATTAAATTTGAAGAAGACGCAACGTGCTATCAAGTGAGGGAAAGAATGAATATCTTTACGCATAGTTTCTATAAAATATAATTAAATGAATTGGAACGCAGGCATCCCAAGAAATATAATTTGAAGGCAAAAACTTTCTTTGGGAAAAGTCGAAAACTTTATTAAGTAAACTTTCGACGCTGATTCCCCAGGTCGTCTTCAGACTTGAGCAAATGAGCAAACAACAATTAGCATTTCAAATGTGCTTAAGAATCGATATTAATTTGGCGTTTGCGCCAGTAAGCGGTCGTCGTGTACGTCATTCGGCATTGATTGGATCTCTTCTCTTCCACTTTTCCCTGAGATTGTTGTACGTGGAATATAACTCAATGTGTCGATTGATGTACGTTTCTTCGGAGTGTGTGGCTTCGAAAAACTCGCGGTCTTTTTTGGCGGGATAAACGCCGACAATGCGAGTTTGTCCCATGCGAAGGTGTGTCCAGTGTCTAAAGTGTGCATGGCCAGTTGAGACAGGTGGTCACGCCTTTTAACTGCCAGTTGATGTTTATGTATGCGCGTAGACGCAGACTTTCCCGTCTGGCCATAATATACAGCAACACAGGCATCGCATGGGACGTTACAGAAGGCATCTTTCTTATCAAGATAGCCAACCCTGTCCTTAGGGTGTACAAGCTGAGTGCATAAAGTGGTCGTCGGTTTGTGCGTCACTTTTATTTGGTGTTTCCTCCTGTTTCTTTCAACGAGTTCAGACACATTCCTAATGTAAGGAAGGATCCGCCAAGAAGAAATCACTACTTCTTAAGTAGTCACTTTTTACGGGGTGCGATTTTTGTAGATGGTCGAAAAGGAGCTTATTCAAAAGCGGACACTCTGGCGCTACTGAAATACCCTAAGCTGCACGACAATTAATATTAAAAACTCTATTGAATTGGTCTTTATGAATCGAAAACTCACTTCAGAATTTCGCTCAACGTTTCATGAGATAGCGCATCAACCGTCTTATATACAACTGGCGTGACCGTGTCAGGGGATGAATCAGCGAACAAACATATAATCTGAACTCTTCTTAATTAATGAGGTTCTCAGCTGCCTAAGCGTGTGAGCGCTTTACAGTCAATAAGGTGTCCTTAGGAGATGTTCTGGAACGCTAAAGCCAGTTGAATCGATAATCGTAAACATTTATAAACTCTGTAATGGTCACGAAAATGGTGTTTTACGGAGTGGTTCATCGAACAGAATAATTTGCCGACTCTGAACGAATGGTGTCGTTTCGTTCGGGTTCTCTACTAATAACTATCTCCTCGATTTATTAAAGCACCTCATCAGTGACCTTATCTTGGCCTATAACAGGGGAGCCTCTGACGGCGCCCTATTGGAACTCATAACTAAATCCTATTCGTTAACAACCGCAAACCCGGGGGTGGTGGCGTTCCGGGTGTAGGAGTTTGCGTCTTTTATGGTCTGCAAAAGCATAACTGATGTTCTTTCGAACTAACCATTGACGTCTACAGACGGACGCACGCCCAAGTATCAGCTGCCGGTTCCAGTCAAGTCAATTTGGTCAATTTGTTGCACGAAACTTCCGTCTCAAGCGTGCGCACACAGGCTGGAATCTCACAGAGGTTTCAGACAGCATAAAGACCCAGTAAGGAAGGAGTTCACACATTCGGACCCCTGTTCCAGGGAAGGACCTAATTAGCCTGCCAACTGGCAGCCTTGCGAGCAACGACTTCTAGCACGTGGCGGTAGTTTCAGAGCGTGTTTGATTGTTCATAGGGAGAAAGTGGATGTCAGTTCGGAGGCGTATCGACCTCACGCTCCGGGGTAAAACCGACTGCAGATGAGGTTGTGTGCAGCGACTAACGTAACTCAAAACCGCCGTCACGTGAGAGATGTCATAAAGGTCACATTCGGAGGTCTCTGCGGTCTGCTCATCGTTTCCTGTCAGCTTGCAAACTTTTCGGCATATGCTAAAATTGAGTGCGTCAGTGAAAAAGCAATGGAAGGCGACACAGCCCGGGGTGAATTTCAGAACCTCAGGGGCTTCCGTCTGTGTGGCTGACATAACAAACGGTTCACTTCGCTAAGGAGTCCGTAGTCAACTAAAGGTGAGTCCGGGTTAAAGTACAGCAAGACAGTTACGATGAATATCCACCAAATTCGACATGATGTCATGACAATTTGCCTTACGAACCAGTGATACAGAGTCGCGTTGGACAACAAGGTTGGCACCAGGTCAGGGCTTTAGTAACCGCTGCCGCTGAAAACCCTTGCCCGGCGACTTCTTCTCGCAGGGTACCCGGGATAAGGTTTGAATATTTAGTACAGTTAGTCCGCCAAACAAAATGGACGAGAGGAGACAGTGCAAAGCGTTTTTATTTGGACTCCCTAAGGTGTTCAAAATTCCATCCTCACGCGCCAGATAACTGTTCACCAGACGCCAAATTTCGACCACAAACAGCACAGACGTGATAGCTCGATCTTTGTGTCCGATGATGTCTACCGTGAGCTCCACGGCAGGGTGAAGCAGGCACGTTGACTTGCGCGTGAATTAGGTTATAGTAAAAGTAAACTTGGCTGCATCTACCGCACTCTCTCCTCCGTCCCCCCCCCTCCCCCCGGACCCGGTGTCGAGACATAGTCAAGAAGACCGGAGGTGGAACGGACGCAGGTGGATGGTGCGGCCGAGCCCGCACCTTGGCGCTCCACTCCACAGCCCCTGGTTCACACGACAAATGACGGGGATTTGAACCAACAACAACAGCACCATAAAGGGTAAGAATGACCGCGAGGATAACGCGGCAGCCATTCTCACGGTCTGTATACCCGGCGGGGGCGCAAGCACATCTACCGGCAGGGCCCCAGGTGCCATAGAAGTGTCAGCGCATACCAGGCTGCGAGTGCCATGGTTTAATGATCCTGGCATAGCAGACGCTTACAATCCTTGAGGCCCACAGTACAGACGTACTGCTTGCATGATGTGACTACGCGGAGAGAAGCGAAGACACGTTATTCTAAAAACGTTCAGAAGCCCTGCCAACAGTCAGGATGACACATGCCTGCCTTTCGAAAGGGTAGTCCTCCAGATTACGCTGCGAGGGCAAAGCGGGTTGGCGTGTTGGTTAGTCTAAACTAGATAAAAGCAGGCTTAGGCAACGGAGACGCACTACAGTGGTTGAGGACTACCACCGCCACAATGGCGACACAAGTAGCAAGCCAGTTGTTTCGTAGGTGTGTGCACCTGCCTTTGAAAATGCGTGAACGCTGGCGCCGGCACTGCAATCGTTACTCGGACCGCGAAGTGACTCATCATTGAGGCCAAAAGTCGAAAGGGGGTTGCCATTTTTAGGAACTAGCAACAATATGTGCGCGCGCGTTCTTCGATCAGAACAGCATCTGATAATCACACAAGTCATGTGAACCCACAGCGAGGTGACTGTGACGCCCGGACAACAAACTAAAAGCATTGTGTAGTTAAGACTCTAGAGATGCTAAGTTTAGGTCCTAGGTCACAATCTGCTATTTCATTCGACTCGATTCTGAAAAACCCGTCAGCGTTGGCGCTATTCGGACCCACTACAGCAAGGCCGGGGCTTTAAACCCCCTGAGCTAGGATGCCCTGACGAGGGAGGGCGTGACTTAAATCACACGTCCAGCTCACTGAAACGTATACAATCCACCAATCTTGATACAGTAGGCTGACTGCCCAGGCGGGATTTCCTAGGCGATCAGTCTAGAATCCACCGGATTCACTTAAGCAAAAGGTGTCTTGGCAGATTTGAATAATTCATCTGGTCCAATTGTGAAAAACTCGGCAGCCTTAGTTGGATTCGAACCTATAGCAGAAAGCGTAAGGCTTGAGTACAGTCATCTAGACTCAGATGCGATTAAACTCACAGTGGCCGGTTAGAGTCTCACAGCTCAGGTGGTTGGAGCGTTGGATGCGCACAAACAGTGGCCATGTTGTTGTTGGCCCGAATCCCACTGAGGCCGTTGAGTTTTTCACAATTTGATCAAAGGAATTATTGCAGCTTCTTGTTGTATGAAAACTGCATTCTATGATGACGATGAAGACGGCAGAGCATGAAGACCCAAAAACCGATTTTAACTCAGCTAAGTGTTTTTGCCGGACCCTTGAGGCGTGGATCAAGACGACTCGGACTGCCTGGCGCACGTCATTAGCAGGCCGCTAACACACCTTGTTTGCTACAACTGCTGGAAATTCTATGGGGAATGGTGCTTTCTAGTCTTTCACCTCAACAGGATCGTAGTGTTAAGGGAACACACGCTAGTTTAACTGCCAAGCATCTGTCATCTGGTGGATTCTAGGTGAATTACTTAGGAAATCCTGCTTGGCCAGTCAACTTACTGTATCAGATTTGGTGGATTCCAGACGTTGCAGTAGGTTGGGCGGGTAACTTGACCCAAGTGTGATAAAACTCGCGTCGTCCGGCGGGGCCTCGTAGCTCAGGTGGTTAGAGCGTTGGCTGTACTAAAGCCTTCCCCCTTACTGCGTGGGTTCGAATCCCACCGAGGCGTCGAGTTTTTCACAGTTGGGTCAATATGAATTATTCAAAATCTGCCAAAATATCAAAGAATGATTACCGACAAAGACAAGGGAGACTGGAATGGCCATTTCTGGCTTATTAGCCGTCGTCAGCCAGCCATACCCAAGCCCGAAGTGTGGAACACCCGAGCCTATATATCATGCGCCGCTCTGCGGCTGCTGGTTGGGCTTGAGAGAGAGAGCCCTTAAGGCACAACGGAACGAGTGAGTTCCGTATGAACGATCGGTGAGCGCCCGCTAACAGAGTTAAAATAATTTAGGGATAACTGGCTGGAAACAGATAAACTGACGCAAGCATAACGTGCAGTGGGGTCGGATCGCAGGAGTACACTTGTTCGGTCTTCTCAGGACTCTTCTCCCCACTCCAGTAAAAACAAAATCACATGTATTCAGTCATGCAAGAAAGCCAAACACGTAAGTGCAATCGTTGGGTGACGTAAGTAAACGACAGTGTGGTTTTGTGAACCTTCCCCTAGTATCGCATAGCTTCTGCACCTAGAGACTTGATGGCGGATGGCTGATGATGAGAAGGAATAGACCAGAATAGACCGTCTCAGGGTCTTGGCTTACAAGCAGACGACTTTTGATGAGTGGAGTAATAAAACCCACCCAAAGGACCCCAGGGAAGCAAGCAAGGTCAAAAATACGCAACGTACAGCTTGGGGAACGGCAGCACCACCAAACATTGCATTAAGCTTTGACTTAATGTCCGCTTGTGAGGGCATACCGCCGCCGCCGCCGCCGCCACCGACAGGGGGACCCCTGCTTGCGCCACCCCCTCCGCTGACACTTCCTCTAGGCGAGTCGGCTGAAAATAGATAGACAGAATTCACACTAGGAGGGACAAACAGTTCTGTAGAGGGTAGAAAATTATAGGCAGTGAACTTTCGTGACAGAACCCGTGTTTAAACTCTGTCGCAGGGAGTTAGTGTTTAAAGTTCGGTCAGACAGTTCTGGTGGACATGCGAGGAAGTCAGTGCGTCGGCTGCTAACATCAGCAAGGACGACCCGGCGATCGACGAGACCGACGGAGGTATGCTGACATCAGCCGCACGGCGGGAGACAATTTTGTCAAAATGTGCTTGTGTGACACGGCTGTGGTCCCGCCTCTGTATGATGCAGATCTGGCGAGCCCGGTCCACTGTAAATCGCATTGTTACTCAGGACTTGAACCTTACTTTCTACTTAATTACTGGATCATGAAGACAGTCAGTTAAACCCTTTCCATTTAGCCAGAAGATGGTATTGTTCAGTTCTGTTTGGAAGTGTTCGTAGTGAGGACACAATGCTACTGCTGACTTGGACGGATACGATCCAAGGGATGTGTTCTGTGCAGACAAGTGAGAATTATATGCAAGTGCTCGATGCGCTAAAAGTCGTGCCTTGGAAGGTTGCCAAAGGACGGGATAATTTTGACCTCGCAGTAGGCCCAGTGTTGTGCGTTTGTTTGGAGCGGCCGACTGATGATCTGAAGCTCAGGCTGAAAGGGCGCCTTCTTAATATGAATTTTATGGTACTCCCACTCCGTGGGATCCGAGCCAGGCGTGACGACACGCCTAGGTGGGGCCTCGACCGCGCCAGCCCCTTTTGTTGTTGTTCAAAATCCTGGTCATTTGCTGTGTGGACCAGGGGGTGTGGAGTGAAACGCCAAAGTGCGGGCTCGACCGTGCCATTCACCTGCGCCCTCCCTCGCCTTCGGTCATCTTGACTCCGTCTTGACACCGGGTCCAGGTGGGGGAGGAGAGAGTGCGGTAGGTGCTGTGCAAGTCTACTATCCCGCGCATTTCACCATGCCTGCTTCACTTTGTTGTGGAGCAAACGATAGACATCATCGGATGCGATGGTCAAACGGTCATATGTAAGTGCTAATGTCCTCTAACAATCAAGCCGTACAATGTAATTTTCGTTAAAACGAGTAGTGGGGTTGTGTGGCGTCTGAATCTTTAAATGCCCCGAAACCAGTGTTCTCTATGACTATCGAAAGTTCAATGGTATTCCATGGTTGACGGAAGACTTTCCGTCCGGTCCGGCGCGAATGTGGTGGATACAGTCATACAGTTTGGACATGTTTCGCATTTTGCTGAATATAGTTCTTTTTACCTTCTGTGTGCAATCACTTTTAGGCAGTCTGCTAGCATCTAGAGCAAGAGTGTTATTGGCCTCGCGTCTTGAATTCGCACGTCAAAACAGGCCGCAGGGACAGAACCAGAGGGAGGCACGGAAATACATGGAGCCCAAACATTGGTATAATTTCATTGCCATGCCGCGCACAGAGTCGGTGAAGCGGTCTCCGTGGCTGTTACGGATAGTTTTTGTGAATGTTCAACAATCAGGGACTCAAATGGCATGAGACAGTATATCAAGTAACTCTTTCAAATGTCGATTTTCTTGTTGTCCACATCTTTCAGCTTGTGCATTTGAATAGAAACCCAAACTGTCAAGTCAGAAAGGCTCTTGTTTCAGCTATCTGAAGTAGTCGATCTTTTGCATGTACTTGTAGCTTATATGTGTGTCCTGGGTTTCATTAGAACTGAGTTAACCGGACAGGAGGCATTAGCTAGGCTAAGCACAGACTCATGCGCTGCTGTAAATGCTTGCACCCTCAGTGCTGTTTATCAAGTTGACTTTATAGCGTCCTGCAATGTCTCAAAATCTAGCATGGTTGTATTGGACGATTTTTGAACTGGTTATATATGCGGCATATACCGAGGGGTTAAGGATCGATACCTCAGACGTGCTTTCCTCCGGCTGACAAAATCTGCACCCAAATCATCTGTGGCGTGTGTTTCCATGTAATACTAACAGTAAACAAATCCCGAATGGCTGCGAAGTTCCATATTTAGGCGTGACTCGGCAGTTTCAGTAGTCGAATGCGTTGAAGGTACTGCTTATAAGTACTTCGAGCGTCTGAAAAGTAACATCTGGTATAGGTTAAGATTCACAACTACTGCTGTTGGCCGGACCTCTCCTTTCGTCGAAAATAACCTCAACAGACGGCTGAGTATGGTTTTCGCATGTTGCTTGCAGCGCCTTTTTGTATAGCTCCTCCCAAATATAACAAAAGAGAAGCGGAATCTTCTCCCCAACATTGTCTTCGTATTAGCAAAAAACAATTGAGAGAAAAGAAAGTCAACTGCTTCGATCTTCGATGCATGAGGTAGATGGCACACTCCCATTTCTGTGAATCGGCTGCGGGCAATAATGGCTTTTTTGAGTCAAACCACGCATAAACCACGAACTTTGGCCCCTAGGCAGTCGAGAACAGATTGCACCTCCTTGAATTGATTCACAATCGCGGCAATGCTGTCGACAATAATTACTTTGGACATGAATGGATCTGGTACAAACTGAACTTCTTTATAGTCTTGTAGTGTTGTTTCCTACTTATTGCCTACCTGGAAGATATGAGTGAAAAGTCGTCGTTTTGTTATAGGCGTAGTTTGATATCTGAGATTTAACTAGCACCAATACAACCTTGAAATTCTAATGACTTCAGTATCCATCAAAAACCTCATTTCTCGATATCCGTAAACTTGCCCTCAATAATGTAACAACCTACACTGATTTGAAGATCATTAGTCAGAGATATGTTCTAGGTTAATGACAGAACACTCAATTAAGACGACAGACGTCGGCGTTAAACGGTCTTCGTTGGCCATATAGACGTACACTAGTTTCATAAATTCACCTTTTACGGGAGCACTGCGATCGTTTTTCATCGATTCAGGGACCTTCTTGAGACCAACACCCTTGCGGATGTCTGCGAGGAAAGCAGGCCCACCTCCCCCTCCCCCAGAAACTGGAGGGGGCATTGGGGCTGGAGGGGGACCAGGAGGCGGTGGCGGTGGTGGTGGTGGGGGGGCCGACATGATGCTTGCCAGCTAGCTCAAATTCGGTCTACAATTTAAAATAGCACTGCTTAAAAAGGAAGAGACTAAAGATCGGCGCCAAACAGAGCATAGCTTTTGTGGTCACAGACTGGAAAATTGCTTTTATTCATTTGCTAAATGTCGGTAACCAATCCGACTTAGTCAGAGTACCAACACTGGCGCAGACACGCGCAAAACTACAGTGCTGCGTCGAGTAATTTTAAGCACATCCAGAACGAGGCAACTATTTACTCGGTGTTGGTACTTCAAAAAGAATTGATTTCTAGGAATCATGAAAACAGGTGGTTTGAGATTGTGAGCATGATCGGACGTGTTTGGAATAAAAAAATTCGAGATAAGTGAGGATAGTTTTAGACAAAAAAGTCGTGCCGTGGTAGCGACTGACCCAGATGGAAAGTGAGATTATACAAATCAATATTAGGCCTTTTTGTAGTTGGGTATCATTTCTGTTTTATTAACCCAATGTGAGGGTTCGCTCTCAATTACGCTGCACTTTACAACGGAGTGTGTGTGGATGACGAGGTAACGATGGCAATTGCTAACATTTTATTGCACAGCCTGATCGGAGAACTAATCCTCCTAGAAATGTGCAACCTAGAGGCATTATGAAAATGTAGTTGATGTGTGCGCTCAAACAGGAAGGGGATGATGGACTGATTATTTAAGTAAGAAGTAGAGCTAGTTGATGGAGGGACTTGGCTTCTGAAAGCGATAAGGAGCAAGTTCGTTGAGAATGGAGTAGTGCGCCTTACGTACGATTTTTACACAAAAAAACTGGATCGTTAGAGCGGAATTAGAGACGGTTTATGGAAGTCCAGGAGCTGTGAGTCAATAGCTCCTCCGATGCCGACAGAATGAAATTCAGCTGCGAGGAAATCGGCGTCCCCCAAGTGATTTCTGATAGATACTCCGGTTTTCACATTTCAGCCGAACCCCACGTAGCTGTGTCATGCTGTGGCAGAATACTAACCAAACACATGTTTGGTCTTCAAACTAGTACACGTGCTACCAGTATGGTAAATCATGCAACATGTGTTTACTACCTGCCGACCGTTAGCAGCTTATGAATTTTACGCGGTTACCCCCTGAAGTTTGTGGATTTATCACCCAAATATTGATACCAACTTTCCGACGGAGTCTATAAGGCTTCATTCAGAAAGACTTTCTCGAGGCTAGTGCATTAACCGCTGAGACTAAAAAGCTAAAAGAACCGGAATATTTTGCTGGCACGCCATTGAGTACTATCATTGCAGAAGCCAGCGAGCACCTTTTACCGAGGTACGGAATTAAACCTTGTTGCTTATGCATCGGGGGCATCATCATGAGAAAATGGGAATTCTGAAATCTCTATAAGCCGCCAGTAGATGGAATTCCAGCAATTAGAAGTATACGCTTTAGGCCGAGGTGCAAGCTAATTATTCGGCCTGAAACAAAGGCCTGCCACACTGTACTTCTTTTTGACGCGTGGAATTTGTCTCAACGTTGAGGTAAAAGATTCCAAACTACACAGCTCAAGGCGGAAGCCCATTTAGGAGAGAGACAAGGTGCTTGTGCAGTCGCGTCTCAATGGTCCGAATGGACTGACGTGTATGACTTATGGGACATACTAACCATGATAAGAACCAGAACTGGTGCCTACGACTAGTAGGCAGCTAGTTTTATGATTGGTTCACTTCTATCGGTAGTAGCTGCGGACACGATCCACCCAGTAGATCCTTCGCGTTACTGGTGTCAGTTGCGGGGATGCGGCAGTAAAGTAACAGCCGAGTTACTCGCGCAGGCTTACCCAGTCAGTCTATCAACGCATTAGCCGAAAGCAGACTTGTAAGTCTGAGCTGTTAGCGCAGGACTGGACAGGGGGCGGCACAATGTTACAAGGGTGTGGAGGTTAATAGGGTCAAGAAATACACGAAAGCATGTCAGGCGGGTCATGATGTTTTGGCTAAATGGACCTTGAGAAAGAAGAATATGAATTTTACATGTGAATGAGGCTTGAATTTTTTTACAAGCATGAGCTATAGGGCAATTAGTACCTTAAAAAATATAGACAAGTCGCAAAATAAAGGCGCACCTGCCAGACCAATGAATGAGAGACGCAGCGAGAAAACCATACGCGTGCAAATAATTTAGTGAGATAAAACTGACAAGACAGGGTAGTTCAATGTCGTCATGGCTTATACCGTTCGAAAGAGCGAAATCGTAGCCAATGCCGTAGCACCTACAGAACGGGCTAGCATTTACAGTAGCATATGTGTAGAATGAAAACAATAGTGGGAGGTTCTTCGGTCAGTCAGCCATGATTTAACGGAAAACTAAATGCATTGTTTTTCTACCAGAAGCCGTACGCATGATGTTCGAGGCTGTGAAGAAATTTTCAGTAATAATTTTTAAGTACGTAAACAAGATAGCGTTTTTGCAAGATGCAAACAGTAGCGGCGAAAAATGTTTACACATTAGACTGCCCTGCCAGCACATGGCCCCTTCATAGGCGGGGCTGGAGGGGGCTGGGTGGGGCCAGAGTCCCCTCTACATTGAAGCATTTTTAAGCTTATTGGTATCGAAAGATATGTTTAAAAAGCACCACTTATTGTACCTTCTTTGGAATTAAAAGGAGCTAATTTACCAAAATTGGCTTATAAATCATGGAGAAAGCATCCGTTTACGCCCACTGAATGTAGCTGCGGATGCGCACGATATATTGAGGTTTTGTTTAAGTCCCTCATTGCGTAAACTCTTATTTGCCCACCGGTTTACAATCTGTGTGTGTTATTAATTCGTATATTTGACAATCGCTTGCAGATAATATCGTGAGTCAACCAATGCTGCTTTCATGCTCTTGATATCTGTCTTAGTTAATTTATGTATATTATGCTAATTGTTTGGGTATCTACTCACCAACCAGTTCAAGTAGTGGACTTGTATGTCTATGTATGTACTATTTAGCCTTCGAAGGGAAGCTAAACCGTGATGCCGATTTTCGGGAAGAAGTGGTATGTAAATATGCAACTTTATTTACTCTCCATGAGTTATAGATGAAACAACTTGTTTCAGTTGGCGGGCGTAATAACAAAGAGTTCGTGAGGAATATCCTCAGTAAATTGCTAGGACCACCCCTTTGCCGTGACTACTGTTGGAGTGGCTCAGTGGGAAAACTCCTTTGTCGGTAGTCCATTATATGCACTCCTATGTGGTAAGTTTTCCTCATTTGTTAACACTTCAGATGCCATTCGCTTGAACCCTATCTTTGGTGATTACGGCCACGAAATGGTTCGCAAGACTGTCATTGATTGGTTTCATGGATCGAGGGACCGGTATGGCGGTCGGGCTAAACGCCGGGAGGCAATTGGAGGGACTAACGATGATACACGTTGCCCCACACTGCCTCCATCTGAAGAGACGGTAATTACCATTATATGAAATTTACATATTTACGGTTAAATATTCATGCTGCTACAGTGAACTTAATTAGTGTGAAAATTGTCATTAAAATTTTAAAGTATTTCTTCCCTTCCGTCGACCATGTGTTTTCCAAACGATTGTTTTTCTTCAATTATAGGAACCATTCGTCGATGCGGGGACTTCTGGAACGCCCAACTGAATGGCATAACATATGTTGAAGTTCATGTATATACTGGCACTGACATTTATTATGATTGTACATATTTTCCAATTCCTTTTTCGTTTATACAATAAATAACTCACTCACATGAATTTGCGTCGCGTGTATTAGATATTGGCTGCTGATTAATGGGTACATATACGGCGGGGTCACTGTGAGTACTATGTAATACCGTAGTACTCCACGTACGCAGGGTGGGTTTCGACGTGTAACATGTGGAAACAGTGAGGTACTGCGCCTCAGGGGACTCGCCATACGGGACGATATTTTAAAGTGGTGCCTAAAGTGGGCGGGGATGTGGCGTCCCCTGCGCATTTTTTTTCGCTGGCTGGACCAGGCGGGGCCATCGCGTTGCATGCCCCGCCACAGCCCCGCCTAGCCCCCTCATGGCCCCCTCTAGCCCCGCCATTATTGAGGGCGCCAGGCGGGGCTGGTGCTGGCATGGTGACGGCTAAACAACCAGTAAAGATTAAGAACATAAGGCCCAAAGAATATGGATGTGTAACACTGGCAAAGAATTTTATAATGGGGATGGGACAACGGAGGATAAAGTTGAAAAAAAGGTGGTAACTGATAAGGTATGTAAAAAGATGAAGGCGTTCTGAATGTACTAGGACACAAAATCTGTCTGCGTTCCTTATTTAAGGCGGACGTTCAAGCACCGATACCTATTGTGGGTAGAAAAAGTGTACCACTTCCAAAATGTCTCATGAGCCACACTGAGAACTCATGAAATATGCACCTCCTAACGTCATTTTTGCCTGTATCATTGTGAGTTGCAATAACTTCCTCAAGAAATCAATAAGTTAACATGCATGGGCTTGGATAACTTACGCAGATATTTGGCTTCCGAACTTGTCTCCATGCTAAGACCCCGAAAATGTCTTCGGGTTTTTTCTAAGACATTATCCGTAGCCACGCTTGGAAGAATTTTTTGCGAAATCGAGTATCTCAACCTAAACTCTTAGAGTCAAGTTTTAGCCTTCCTGTTGAAGCGTTTGCCGTTTGACCCACTCAGCGGTTATTCTACGGCTTCTCAGTTACGAATTACCTATAGTGACCATGCTTAGGGGCAACATTTAAAGTCCAGCGGATAAAATATCCTGTTGTTTCCTTTGGCAGTGTGACGGAACGCGCAACGAACGAGGAATATTCACTCTTAGGACTTGGTAGCAGCCTTCAATCGGTGCATCAGAAGAAATATTTTGCTAAAGCAATACTTTGGTTGACATCACCGCTCGGATGAATTAACTTTTCCGTCGACGTGTTTTGAAGTCAAAATCGAAGCTTCCTGTCAGAAACTTGAATTTCTGCCAACTGACGGCGAGGTGTAATTGGTTAGTCCGTTTGGAGACCTTAA